GGGAGAATTGAGAGAGAGAGAGACAAACACACACACACACACAAAGAGGAGAGGGGAACTGCTGGGGCCGGCCCGTATTGAAGAATATGGCCGAATTTACCCGGGCTGGCCGTATATCGGCGTATAACACGCACACATCATTTGCCCCCTATTTTCAGGGGGAAAAAGTGCGTGTTATACGCCGATAAATACGGTATTTGTTTTGTAATGGAAGGGTAAAGCCTGAGGTCCCATATAATAAAGCTTTCACCTCTACTGTGACTCTTTCCATAATGAATGGGAATGTATCATTCAGTGGGGATTAGAGAACAAGATGCCAGGTTTTGGATCTGCCCACAACAAAATGCAATATGCCTAGGCCAGGGGTAGGCAACCTTGGCTCTTTTATGACTCGTGGACTTCAACTCCCAGAATTCCTGAGCCAGCATGGCTGAGCTTGGAAACCTCTCCCTTTCCCCTCAGCATGGCTGGCTCAGGAATTCTGGAAGTTGAAGTCCACGAGTCATAAAAGAGCCAAGGTTGCCTACCCCTGGCCTAGGAGTTTCAGTGGACCTGACTATGTGCTGCAATTCTATAGCATGGATGAGGATATAGCTTCCAATGCACTGTTAGTTAAAGCTTTTGCTTAGGTTGGGTATTGTCCTTTCTGGCTCAAAGGGTGGAGGTTTTCATCTACCAGGGATTAAGACAGTTTGGGAAACTTCTCTCATAGGATATAGAAATTTGAATTATGGAACAAAATCAGTTAGGTTTGGCTATTAGGAGAGTGTGTGATGTGCCGTGGATGGGACTAGAGCCGTTTGGAGAACTTTTCAGACGGTAAAGTAAGTTGTTCTTGATTATTTTATGATGTGAATGCAATTCTAGAAACTGTATATAGTCCCAAACAAAAAATATATAGATTTTCAGTTCATTTTTCTAGCTTTTGTCCTTGAAATAGAAGTGGCTATAGAACTAATTTTGAGGAGGAAAAGGGAGGTAAATAATATGAGTAGGAGAATGGTAAGTTTTACGAACATTTCCCTAGAGGTAAAAACTGAAGTGTGCTTATACTAGTGTCATGAATCACATCTAACTATAACATTCTTCAGATTAAGAGACTTTGACTGCTGTTTTTTTAAAATATGCATCATAGATTAATAAAGCGAATACCTTGAATATCTTCAGAAAAGAATCTGAATATGGTGACCTTGTTTCTAAATCTGCAGAGTCTCTGCTGATCATTGGATAAATACCAGCAATTCATCCAACAAAAGCAGCAGTCCTAGTTGTGTTGGCAACTGTTGTCTGCCTCACCTACCTCTATGTCTGCCTTGCTCACCTGTATTCTGGGTCAATCTTCACCATGAGGACTTCCTCAAAACTGAGGCACTTGGGCCAGGAAGAGATGGAAGTAAAGATTGCTGCTTCAGTTGTTTTCTGGGCCAGGTGGGGAAGGAGTGGATACATCCTTATCCTTTAAATGGAAGGGCCTTTTGGCCTACTCAATAAAGAATTTGCTTGATGAGGTTCCAAACACACCATGTTAGTTTCTCTCTGTGTAGAATAATAATAATACTAAAATATCAGGGCCATTGTTCTTGATTAGCAGATGGAGCAGTGAGGCCTTTGAACTGACAGTAGACAATGGGAGTTTATTTATTGTTTCTGTCATAGCAGACAATTAACTCACATTGGCTCTAATTGGTGTGTCTACTAAGTGTAATTGGCACTGGTGAATAACAAATGGATTTTCTGTTACAGAGGTTCATGCAGTTTTCTTACCAGAGAATGTCAATGCACATTTATGGAAAACATCTGTTTGACAGATATCAAGAATGCTCATTTGCAAATGCAAAATCTATTATCAGGCTTTAGATATAGATGTAGAAGATTTATCCACTTTTTTTTAAAAGCCTGTATATATCATCATTACTGAAGAATAAATGGCAAAAGAACTGGTGCTGTCTTTTTTAAGTGGTGGCTTGTTATAATTCTTTAGATACAATTGATAAGCAACTAAATAAACAGTAACTTATTTTCAAATTATCTGGGGATAAGTGGCGATTCCATCAGGGCAAAATGGCCCATGAGGATTTTTCTAACAAATGCAATAAACAAAGTCCTGGTAAATTTACTGATTAACTTATGACATGTGAATTGAAATCATTCCTTAGTGTTACATTTTCTAAATAAATAAATACTTTATGATCTGAAATTTATTTATTTGGTTGATTGATATCCTATCTTTTGGGGGTATACCTCAAGGTGGTGTACATAAGGCTTTCTCACAACCCTGTGAGATGGGTTGGGCTAAGACAGTGGCTGACCCAAAGTATTCCAGCCAACTTTAATGCCTAAGAGAGAACTAAAATCCATATCTCCCTATTCTTTTCTAGCATAATCACTACACAAAATGTTCTCTTATTACATTTTTTTCTCCTATTATGAACACATTGTAATTATTTAGTATCTGAGGAATTAGCGATCTACCTAAGTGTTTTCCTGTCCTTTGTGGCTCCATGTATTCCAGGGCTGATTCAGGCATTACAAACAAAGGAGTTACGGAGCCATATTAAAACTATAATTAAGTCATTTTAGTTATGCCAAGCTGAACTTTTACTCTAAAGTCTAAGAAAAATTTTTAGATGTGCAAAATTAATGAGCTAACCTGTCTTCTGTCATTTAGTTCCTTAGTGACTGTAAGCAAGTTATTTTTTGCCTTTGTTTAATCAGGGCTGCGAAATGGGACTATACTTCTAGTCAAGAAATAATGCGGCACTATATAGTAGAAATTTCAATTCCAAACAAAATATTTTCAAAAAGAATAGCAAAATAAATGATGCACCAGTGAGGGAAATACCAAGAGAATCTTGTCAATTTTTACAGGTTAAAAAAATAGGGTAGCATAAGCTTCTATGGACTGCAGTCTGTTTCACCAGATGCAACACTTATGCAAGAATAATCTTAGCATGAAATAATTAATCATCCTAATTTTACATTTCTATATCATACTTATATCATCAATAACATTGGTAACTTTGCTTAATTGACAGGAATTACTTGGAAATTGATGAAAAATGGCTTGTTTGTGCTTGCCATTAAACTATATTATAACTCATTTGTGCACTTCTTAAAGGGAGAATTTTAGACTGCTGTAAGACAGTTGCTTATTAAAGCTGGAGTTATTTTGTTACATATAAATCAATTTCCCATAGTACATACCCAGTTTACAAAAGTTTATGAATGCAACTTTGTGGGTATTGTGTATTCTGTTTCAGCAAATATGAAACGTATGCTGAAGAGATACCATATCATACATACTTGTAACTTGCTTTGTAGAAAAATGGGGGGAGGGGGGGATGGTTCTATGGCCGGCAAGCCCACACGTGCATCCACGTGCACCCAGCTCCATTTGCGTCAGTGGTAAGCACGTGCATGCACATACTTGCTCACTGCTCGCAGAAGTAGAGATGCACACATGAACGAATGTGCTCGCCCACCACTTCCACGGCCCGATTCCCAACAGCTCAGGGCCTTGTAGTGGGCTGCAGCCTGGGGGTTGGGGACCCCTGCCTTTAACAATGTCTTTCCTTAACACTGGTGTTTTTAACTTGACAATCTTCTGGATGTCTTTTACGATTGATTTTTTTTGCTAGAAGCCTTGGACATATGTTTAAAAAGGGGAAAGGATTGGTACTATTCTTGGAGTGTTAGTTTTAAAATTTTTCTTTCTCCTTACATTGAACTTGATGAAAACTATCCTGTGGCTGTTACAGGTTTTGGAAAAGGAGCTATAGTTGGGAAAATACTGATATGTAATAAAATTTCTGAGGAACCCAAAATTTGGCAGAACGCAGTTTGAAAAGAAACCTGTAACAGGACAGAATGATAGCACTGGTATTATTCTATTATTTTAAATGTAGCATTATAGCTTTTTTGCCTTCTAATGCCAGTTGTTGCTGATTTTCATAGGTGGATCCAGAGAAATGTCGCTATGCTGTAGGTAGTGTCCTGAGTGAAGGCGAAGACAAACCATCTGAAGAAGCGATCCGCATGTTTCTGAAGTATGGCTTCAAGATTATCAACTTCCCAGCTCCTAGTCATGTAGTCCTGGCAACCTTCCCTTATACAACTCCCCTATCCATCCATCTGGCAGTGAACCGTGTCCATTCAAGTCTTGACGTCTACATCAAGGTGAGCGAAACTGTGAAGGAGATCGTTTATTTGGAGCCTGGAAGTTAAAATTCCATTTTTTTAAATTTTCTGCAGAGGATATAAATTATATGATATATTTCTAGTTGATTATATAAATTCAGATCTTCTGTTATTCAATAAGTGGCAAGCCATCAGTTGTGATTTCTGCTCTTGTGGACCACTAAATAAATATTCAGAAAATGTGAGAACTGTCCAATTGAACGAGTTCTTGATTGAATGTTTTTATATACATTCTATGCCACAATAAGAATCTTCTGGGCAAGAATGTTCTTCAGTAGAATTATCTGAACACAAAGGGGTTGGGACAGGTAGATCTCTGGCAAAGGTACATTCCGTTTTTTAAGATACTTATTATTGTATTTCCTATTTGCATTTCTCTTTTCAGGGCACTTGGACAAGTCCACAGCTCTACTTAGCAGAGCACATGTGAATTCATAATTGTTAAATTGTCTTTCCAGTAGGGCACTTCAGACTGATATTTAGCTTGTGGCTCTATCCAAGATGGTGAATAGTATTGATGATTTTGTGTAGAGTTCTGTAGTAGTCTGGACATGTTTGCTGTGTTGCTAACATTTTTTTGCTTTTATTTTTCTTTGTAATCCCAAGGTGAAAGATACTTTGTTATAATTTCTCCAGCTACTTGAGAAAGGTCAGGGGCGAAATCTTGTTAAAGCTGTTTGAAACTGAACATTTCTAGGACTCATAACATCTCTTTTCTAGAGATTTTCCTGTATATCTGCTGATACGTTTGAATTAAGGGAGAGAATAAGGACGCTTTGTGAGTGAGGAGAGGTTCAGTGGGAACCAGCCCTGTCCTGTTTGAAGGGAATATCTCTTTTTTTTAATCTCACAGACATGCTGAACATTTCCATTCATATCACGTGTACAGCATGACTGATTCTTATTTCCTGTCAAAGTAATTCCCCACTGAAAATTTTAACTGTGGAAAGCACATCACTAAATCTCAACTCTCACTGAAATGTTTGCCATTTTTAAAAAAGTACTACAGCGTGAGAATGCTGTGTTTCACCACAGCTGAGATGTGAGATCTCTAAACAATAGGATGGCTTTTGAAAAAGGGCCATTCAGTTAGGTTGTTTACTCTCTGTCTCAGATCGGGGCTCATACTTGAATCGATACATTTTGGAAAAGGGACGGTCTGTTTGAAAGCAAAACATTGTTTAAAGGCAGAGGCAGCACAATTAATTTAAACTGTTGAATAAGCCATCCTCATCCTCTGGGATTGTCTCTGCTCTCTTCTGCTGCTTGGAATGCAGATCATGAAGAAAAGAAACTTGGGAACAACACGGGCAGACCATGAATGTAGACATTCTTTTTAACCTAAAGCTATTTTTATTTCATTTTATTATCAAATTTGCATAGCTGTCCATCTCACCAAATATGATTGTGGGCAGTGTACAGCAATTGAATAACAAGACACACAAAAATGTAAAATAATATAAGATGAAGATTAAAAAATAAAAAAATTATAAAAAGAAATATATCAGCCTTAAGCAAAGGGAGGATAAGAATGAGCACCTAGCAACAGAACCGTCTGAGCGCATCTCTGGTTCCCTGAGAGCACCAGGCCTAATTACATAACCAGGTTTTGAGGGACTTCTGGAATATCAGAAGGGATGGATCTAATCTAATGTCAGGGGAAGAATGTTCCAGAAGGCAAGCGCCATGGCAGAGAAGGCATGTGTTATGTGTTCTGGGACCCAGCAGATTGTATCTGCAGCGTGCCTTCTCTGCCAGATCGAGTCGGGCAGGCTGATGTAATCGGGGAGAGGCAGTCCCATGAGATAAAGGGCTTTAAAACTTAAATTTAGGACCTGAACCCGGAAGCAAACTGGCAACCAAGGCACCTTATGGATCAGAGGAGTAACATGCACTGTTCTAGAAGTGCACATAATTGCTCACACCGTTGCATTCTTTGCCTGCTGAAGCTTCTGGATATTCTTCCAGGCAGGGCTCTCCACTGTTTCCTCTTCTGTTCATTTTTGTTTTGGAAATCTTGAATGGCGACATACAAGATGAGAGGATTGTGGGAGTAAAAATTTAAAAAGAGACAAGATTTAAGATCTGTTAAGTTATATCTATACTTGTAGCTTCTGTAAAGAAAATTGAAAGCTATTTTATATTTTTTTTCTTTTTTCTGCATATTTGCTTTCTTCTTTCCTTCTTTTATTCTAAATATTATTTTTTGTTAGTTTTTATCTTTAATTTTTTTTAATAGTTATATATTTTTTTAAAAAAGGTTCATAATTAATAACAATACTGTCACTCAGTCACTCATGCTCTAGTCACCTCCAGATTGGACTACTGCAATGTAGTCTACATGGGGCTGCCTTGAAGAGTCTTATCCTCCCTTTGCTTAAGGCTGATATATTTGCTTTTATAGTTCTTTTATTTTTTAATCTTCATTTTATATTTTTTTTTTACATTTCCTGCTTTTGAACGTGTAATTATTAAATTGTTATACACTGCCCATAGTCATATTTGGTGAGAGGCTGACTTATGACTGTTTTTCAAAGTTACGATCTTTGCATCCCCATGATCATGTGACCAAAATTGAGATGCTTGGCAACTGGTTCATATTTATGACCGTTGCTGTGTGCCAAGGTCATGTGATCACCTTTTATGACCTTCTGACAATCAAAGTCAATGGGGAAGCCAGATTGACTTAAAAATCAGGTTACTTACTTATCAGTTGCAAGGATTCACATAACAACTGTGGCAGGAAAGGTTGTAAAATGGGACAAAACTCACTTAAAATGTCTCACTTAACAACAAAAAATTTGGGCTCAATTGTGATCGTAAGTCGAGGATTTCATGTACTTTTCCTGATTTAATCTTTTTTATAGCTTCAGAAAATTCCTAAATGTTATAGATCACAGGTATCAAACTCGATTGCGTCATGTGACATATTGTGACGTATCACGACGTTTTTTGCCTTTGCGGAGCCGGGGAGGGCGTGGCCTGCGCATGATGCATCCGGCCTGCGGGCCGCCAGTTTGGCACCCCTGTTATAGATCCATTCATAATTAGCTTTCGTTTCTCTTGTAGAAATTTGTTGATAGATGTCCTGTAGATTTTGTTTTTCTAAATATTCAACTATTTTCTCCAAAAAGATATCATGTCCTTTATACAAATTAGAATAGTGATGAAATGATTTTTACAGCCACACCGCTTGTTAAAATAGTCAGTTTCAGTATCATTTTCTTTTTCTTTTTATAATTTATATACAAGCCATTTCCCTGATTTGTTTGCAAATTGATTTTTTTTTCTTTAATTTATTTATTTTTATTTCCACTTATCTTACTGTTAACATTGATAGCTATGGCTGTAAAAGTTGAATTTGATGATACTTATCGTCTCTTTGGGCACTGATTTCCACTTCAATGGCGTCTCTGCTCCTTCAGAGAGACTAGATCATTAATAGGCCCCAATGGAAGCAACAAATAATAAACTGTTTTGAGGATGCATCCTCTCTGCTTTTGCAATAAAGATGTAGCTAATTTTATAGTAGCTAATTTTATAACTTCTTACATATGTGCAAGAAGTAGATAAAGTGAATACGTAGTCTAAATTATTTGTTTTGGAATCTGTAGCTGAATCTAAAGCAAAAACAATCCAGAAACACTCACCTTGTTTATGGAAAAGAAGCACTTCATTGCAAATACCATTCATCTTTTGCATGACACAATTATTTATGAACTGCCTGGGCAACTATCCCAGCCTTGTGAAAAGCTCTGGCTGTGTCTGACTTTGTGCTATTTTGAAGATTCATGCCAAGCTTAGCATATCATTCCATGATTTGCATTGGAATTTCCAAAATCCTTTTAAAAGCAGTAATTTGTCTTTAGTTGTGGATTCTGTTCATTGAATAGTTTTGTTGTTAAGTTCAGTAGTATGGAGCACAGGTTTAAATGGCAGCAGAAATATGCAGAATGTTGTGGAAACTTGCCATATTCCTTTTGTTAATTCTTGATTTTCTCCTGGGTTTGCTGTCCTGTTGTGCTGATAAGAGAATATTGGTTCAAGAAGCTATGGGAGTATTTACAGCATTTGCTTATCAGTTTCCTTTGTCCCTAACTGTGGTCATTATACAAGCTTTGTGATACCTTGAGCTGGTATGGGAAAGGAGGGAAAGGAGAAGAGTTTCATCACTGTTGTTAAATGTAGGCTTACTTTGTGGTGTAGAGTTGACATTTTGATGCTTTAGGAAAGGTCCTGGAGAGAGCATCTGTCACACAACCACTGAAAACATTAAAACTAAAAAGAGAGCTGCAGATTATGCTGAAAACACCTGGTAGCTTTTTAATGAGACTGTTTAATGGAATGGATTCAGAATCCTAGATGCTTACATTTTTCAAACTGAATGAATAATGCCATAAATAGAAAATCTCAGCAAATGAAACAGAAATCGAAGACAGAAAATTCTATCTGGTTGTGTGTGTGTGTGTGTGGGGGAGGGTCTTTCTTGGGAAGCAGAAAGCAGGTAGGATAGTATTGTAAATTTCAGTCATCATACTGGAAGAACCTAGAATTAGAAGCAGGTTGGAATTAGTTGCATAGTATCATAGGCACAATGGCAAATCACTCAGTGATAATGTATTATCTAAATTGCTTTTTAAAATCGTTTGATCTGCCCACTATTAATCTTGAAAAAGATTTGAAAACTTGATTCAGGGAATCTCTTCTCCTCTCCCCAGAAGTGATACATATTTTCTATCTAGGTCATTACACTGGTCATTACACTAATTCAGATTCATTAGTCAGATCCAGTTAAGATTTTGACAGAAAATTGTCAGGGTTTGGGGTCCAAGTTTGAGCTATAAGGTAAATTTAGCTTTTCATAAAATACAAGAGATTATGTTATTTAAGATCTGCCCATACTCATTTCAATCCAGAAAGCATATCCGGCACAAACTGAAGATCTCTTATAAACTAGGAAGTAAAGTAATGTGGCTCTT